AAGGCATGCAATGCAAGTCATACGCCAAATATAGCGGGGTCTATTGTGAGGGCTACTATCTTAGTCATGGGTGCATCATCTGCGCTGCAGCTTAAGCAATGTTTTGCTAAGGCTTCCAAAATCAGTCTCTAGTTGCGATCCCCAAACGTCTAGATCTGCCTGGATGCAGCCTTTAACTTTAGTGCCACTATTTGCCACTATTTGCAAGGAATCTAGGCAGGAGCACCTAGAACTGTGACCGTATTCACGAACACAGCAGTTCGGTTACCCAGTGGCGGCATTCCGTGGATTCGCGAACACATTTGGTGGAATTGATATGCACGATGCTCTGGGCTCGCTTACCCACAACGTGAGTTTTGCAAGTCGATGAAAGCTGCCACTAATTTTTTTTATTATTTTGATGTAAAAAGTCATGTTTATTTCGCTCAGCTTTGAAGACCTTTGAGATTCTTAAGAAGCTCACCTGTGCTACTTCTCCCTAATATTTTCAAAGTGCGCTTGATGACATCACTGAAAGACACTCTTGACTCCTTACTGCAACATTGTATTCGCGTACTCTTTTCTTTGTTCCACATTTGATGTTGCTTGTAGAGAGTGCAATATGTCTATGCTTGGTTTGGAATCAGTTGTAAGTACATCACTATCATAATCGTGTGATGACGGACCAGTACCTGAACAATTCGCATGAAGAATTCAAAATCTACTATTTTTCATACCGATATCTTCATGCTCTTTTATCGCTGAGAATTCTTTTGTTGGTGCCGTAGACACCGATAGGGCGCTGATCTGCGTTTTAGTAGTGGGGCTAACCTTATTATCGGGCACTTTCCTTATGAGTTTACCTTGCTAAATAAAAAATATTTCATATCCCGTCCCCACAATACTTAAACTACCTTGAACTGAGTTATAACAGCATTTAACTCATTTGCCACCTTTCTCATTTCCACAGCAAGTGCAGCCATCTTTTCTAGAACCTGTACTGAGAGTCCTTGCATTTCTGAAA